GAAGACTCCAGGGGCAATTTAAATTATGCAGCTTGCAATGCCATATCATATTGTACATCTTAATGAATAAAGCCACAAGGACATTTTGAAGTGGCAGAAAACAATGCGTGTGTGTTTTGCGGGGGCAGCTTGCCAATGATACCGCTGGAACGGAAAAGGGTGAGTGAAACTTCTGGGCTGTTGACGGGCAGGATTCCTGAGACGAGCCGTTCCACGACAGGTGGGATTGTGGGCTGGGGGACCCCCCACCAAGAGATTTCACGAAGGCCAGCAGAAAAATCGCTCTGCCCTACAGAGTGGAAAAGCAACAGGGTGCCTTTGCTTTGGTCCAAGATTCAGGACGGGTTTGGGGATGGACCACCCTGGGGTCAAGTCCTGGGTGAAGACCTTCAGGGACGTCCAGTTTCTGCTGCAAGTCTATGGCAGCCTTCTGCCCCCAGAACTGTTGGGATTTGACTTTTCAGAGCCAGAGCAGAAGTCTCATTAAAGCTTTTTCAGGCCGCCATTCTAGTAATTAACTCCAGGCCTTTACAACCCCAGTCAAGATCCAGATAACAGATAGCGGTGCAATTGCTAGACAGGAATCAGTGCATGAGCATTGCGACCAAACGGCCCTGAGAGGCCCCATGTCCCGAGGGAAGCAGAAGCCTGCCCAGTCCCCAGCGTGCTCTTTCTGGAAAAGGCTGCCATGGCTTGCGCAGGCTGAAATACAGGGAGGGGCAGAGGTGGCCACTGAAGGTCACTGCTGGGCATCCAAGCCTGGCTTGCAGGTGGTCATGTCCCTCCCTGGAGGCCTCTGGCCACCCTCTTTTGCGAACCATGGACCAAACGAGACACCCACAAACTCCTGTTCCAACTCTGCTCCCATGAAAGATGCCCCTACAAAGAGGCATCGGGCAGGGGCGGGTCTCCAGTCCTGGAAGATGGGCTACCTTAGTGCCCCAAACCTCCTTCCCGCACGGCTGCTCAGTCCCGGGAGCCCTGGGAGAACGGGCCTCCCGGAGCTGGCCCTGGCTCTCCAGCACCCTGCTCGGGCTCAGTTCCCCCGCCTGCCCCAGACTGGCTAAATTCCTGCAGGGGCCAAGACCAGGGGCAGCAGCGGAGGGAAAGGGACTTCCCTCAAGCCCCTCGGGACCACCTGCCCAGTGAAGGCAATGGGCCAAAGGCCTCATCAGGGTCAGCGCGGCGCTGGAGGCTGTGCCTACACCGGAATCGGAGCTCGGCTCCGGATTTCCACTCTGGATTTCCACTCCCTGGGCCTTGCAAGCCTCAGGGTGAAAAAGGGAAATAATAATGATGATGATGATAAAAAGGCAGCTGGCAACATGGGAAGGGGTAAGAGCAACAGCAGAAATGATCTGTTGCCCCTGGAGGCTTTTAGGAAAGCATTTTTCCCTGTGACTACTGCATAAAATGTTGGTAATTATGCTAATTTCATTTGGAGAATGGTTTTCAGTTACACAAACCTTTAGCGTGGAAGGAACAAAATACATTCCTGGAGTTTTATACCGGCATTTAATCACTGGTGTTTGGCTGCTGAAGCTTTTAAGGCTAATGGGTGGCTCTAAAGCACTACAGAAAGCAGAGCGGGGACGGAAAGTCATTCCGGTATCCATTTGTCAGGAATAATATACCAGGCAAATTTAAGCAGGAGGCCCACTCGCTGGCAGAATGGAGACACTCCGTTCTCTAACCTTTCATCTGTTTGAAGAGAGAGAGCCCAAGTTAAATTCCACACGGGCAGATATCAAGCCTTCAGGATAAGATAAATACATACGCAGCTTGTCTGCTAAGACACAGCCACTCCGCGAGATCCCATCCATCAAAAACGGGGATTTGACAAAGTTGTTCTAGTAGCAATCTCGGCTTAACTATGCCTCAGTGCCAGGCCGTTTGTTACAACAAGGGCATTTTGATCCAAGGGGAGCAGCAGCCAAGAAGCCGCATGCGGAGCGCAAGATGGGCAGTGCAGGTATCAAAGCATGGGAATTGGGGCCACTCTCTCGAGAGCCATGGAGGAAAGACAGCTACACAAAAGCAAAGTGCATGCGGGATCGCGCTGTGCATTATTGGTCCAAAGCCTCGACTGGCCCCACACCCCCGTAAGATCTTCTGCCACAATGCCCAAACCAAATTCAAGCATCTTGGGCCGACAGACCCTTGGCCAACATCACAACTGTAAGCCTTGTGGAGTAAGCAAATTGTCCGCAGCCTCCGTCTCGCTCGTACATAAGGACTGTCGCAATTTACTAGCTGAACAGCATTAACAACATCCTTAATGAACTAAGAGGTGCCCTCAATTAACTGGGCATCATATATTTCTAAAAATCAGTGCAAGAGCTTACAGAAGCTGCAGAAGGGAAGGAGCATGTTTAAAAGAGGCATTCTCTATTCTCTCCTTACACAGGAGAAATGCCTCTTGTAAAACAACACTTAAAGATGTTTTCTAAAGACAGAAATATGGTTCTCACTTTGCTTTTGCAACCTGACATTCATTTATGCAAGAGCAATTGACTAAGACTCCCAGGTTTAAAGAACTAACTTTCCCTGGCTGCATGTGAGCACCCGCACGTTCCATTCATCCACACACCTAGGCCTTGCTTGCACGTGGACAACTGACACATAATCCTAGCTGTGCTAACAAACCACGGTTTGCCACCCATGGACAACCCAGAAAGAGAGCTCATGTTTGTTAAGTTCTTGAGTCGCTTAAACTACGATCCTGTTCAGATGTAACGGTGGTGTCTGAACAGAGTCTATGTGTAGTTGTTCTGTGCAAACACAGAAGCGTAGTTTGTTTCCCCAGCTACAAAAGTGGAAGATTTTTCTAAGAATCCCTGCTGTGCCCCCTTCATTGCTACAGCACCGCAAAGACAGTGGGGTTCAGGAAGAGAGTGGATGAAGGGAGAGGGAAAGAACAACACAGGCACTGAGAAACGCATCGTGATTTGTTCAGCTGTCTGCTGTAGAAACCCCAGGAGGGAAACAACTATGGGTTAAATAAACCATGGGTTAACATGTATGAACCAGGTCAAAGGCATGGGGAAGGAAATTCGTGCGGATGAGACTGGTTTCCATGGAGTTACAGAGGACTTCAAATTCATCTTAAGCACCTTACAAGACAAGAGACCTGTTGGACTCCTGTCTGTGGCCGCAGGTGATCTACCAAGTGATGCAGGAGAAAAGGAGACAGGCATATGACTGACTCTACGGAAGATTACTGCTTATCAGCAACATTTTCTGCAACAAAATTAAGCTACATGTCAACTGAGGGGGAATCAGACTGTTGTGCTTAAAAATAGGAAAGATCTTTCTTAAAAGAAATGCTCCAGTAAACTAAGTTAGAGGCACCCTGATGGCAACAAAATGAAATTAAAATCCACAGAATCAGCGTGAAGGAGGCATAAAGAAGAAGCATGGCTGCATTTTCCCACTGACGTTGCGCTGAGCTTTTGATGCGTGGGAAAAAGAAAGCCAGACGTCCCCAGGGAAAGCACACCACCGCCCCTGGAAGGCAGGTCTCCTCCTGCATGCATGCCGCCTCACCTGGGGGTCCCGGCAGAGCATTTCATGCCAGCGGAAGCGCAAGGAGTCACCGTGGGGCAAAGCAGTCGCTCTGCACATCGGCTGGGGATTCCGGAGCAACGCCGCTGGCACGTCCAAGCTCCTCTTCCTTTGGGCGGGAATGACCATCCCAAGGTACTTCAAACTTCATTAGCAAATTAACATGCCCAACGCATGAAAATGGCAGTGACACCAAAGACCTTATTCGCAAGATAAGCTGCCGAAGTCCTCCGGCTGACCTTTCACCCTCCAAGTTTTATTTCTTGGCAACCTTCAGCTGCTCCTTGCAGGGGTTAAGGTTCATGTGGAAGCTAACCCAGGTACCACCACAGCAAAGCGGAAGAAGGAGGGACATGCAGAAGGAGGTACAAGGCAGAAGAGACCCATCCCATAATACTCATGCTGAAGTAAAGCACACCCAGGGACCTAAAGATGTTCTAACTTCTCACAATCCTGGAAGAAGAAAAATGTAACAAGGCAAAAAGCTAAACACGGCAGAGGTGATGGTTAAGGCACACTGGAAGGAAAGGTTTTTGTTACTTGCACAGGTCTTTTAAGTCGGAATAGCGGAGGAAGCCAAGTGTGTGTCCTGCGCCGGGAATGTGCAGGGAGGAAGGCACGGGGCAAGTCAAGGAGGCGATGCTGGCCGTCGTGCCCAGTGAGGGGAGGTCATTACAGGATCGAGCAGCGTGGTCTCACTTCCCACGCTGCGCTTGCTTTGGCACCTCTTCGCATTGAGGGAGAGACAGGGAGAGACGGAGAGAGAGGGAGAGAAAAGGTGGTGATGACGACACCCAGTGGGTGGCGATGCCATGGCGGATGGATGGATGGACGGACGGATGGCAATGAGCGCGCCGGACAAGGTGGGCGGCACGAGCGGCTGCCGGCGGGGCTGGCCGCGTGGGAGTCCCTCGGGGCTCGGAAGGCTGGATGGGTGGGGATTTAAGATGCGCAGGGCACTAGTTTGGAGCGCCTGGTGAAGGAACCGCGTGTGTGTGCAAGACACTCACAATGGCTGGACAGAGAGCTAGATTATGGTAACTGGCGGTCGAATCCACTGCTTGGTATGCAGAAAGGTGCCTGCAGGTATGCTCTTGAATCCAAAGGAGTACCAATGCTTCATGTTTTTAGTAGTAGTAATAATAATAGCAGCAGCAGCAGCAACAACAACATCTCAAACCGTAACGGGCTTCTAGAGAGTGAAGGGTTATCTCACAGGACTGGGACCAGAACCCTCAGCCCCCTCTGGTCTCATCCTGCTGGTCAAATGAAAATAAAGCAACTCAGAGGTAAGTACATGGCACAGCTGGGGGGAGAACGCCCCTCTCGCCCCCCCTCCGCTCTCTCCTCTCCCTGCCACCCGCCTCCGCTCGTCCGCTATACATACAAGCGACACACACTTGGCCCTCAGCCCATGGTTCGTGAAGGTACCGTACCTGCCGTGGAGATGGTGGAAGGGATGGTGGTGGTGGTGGTGGTGGTTGTTGTGGGTGGAGGGAGAGTTGTGGGGGGATCTAGATAAAATATAAAAAAGGAAACAGAAAAAAGCAAATTAAAAGGAATGAGCAGAATACAAAACTGGTCAATAAAGTAACCAAGAAGCAAACAAAAGATGGATGCTACACTGCCCGCTCACCCCTGCTGAGATGGCCCTAGATATCAGAGCTGGGGGGGGGGGGGGGCTGGGGCACAGGGGCCAGGCATGAGTGTGGGGCAGCCGCCCTGGCTCGGGCAGATGGAAGCGAGGCACTGGGTCCCATTCCCCCCCACCCCCACCCCCAGCATCTGGGCAAGAGCAGGGGCAGCAACACAGAGCACAAAATTAGTTGTAGATGCACACAGGTGAGATGGTACGGGAAGAGCCTGGGGGGGGGGGGGGGGGGAGGGGAGAGAAAAGAGACCTGCGTCAAGCAAAGGAGGAGCGCGTTTCCCGTGGCAAGGAGGACCATTTGCAATGCAGGAGAACAACAATGCCGTTTTGTCTTGTGGCTTTTTTCCACATCTGAAAAATTAGGGGCTGGGTAAAGGGAGGGCAGAGGAGACCCCGCTGCGCTTAACAGACTAAATATCAGCAGCGGAGCCGTGCGGCCGTCTTGCTCACTCGCCTGCCTTTCTCCAGAGCAGTTAACTTCATTATTCTCCCTCCATCAATACATCCCAGCAGGGTATAAAACGACTTCTAAGCCAGTAATAAATACAAAAGGGAACGAGAATGTCACGACTAAATATCAAGTTGGATGCATGGAAGATTTTAGTGAGATTTCTTTTAAAATAAAGTCAATGTCTTTGTGACTTATAAATATTAATGCTCTGCCAGGGCTCACACATTCTTCTCCTGTTTAATACATCACGTCCTCTAATGGACCCAACAGATAAAGATGAAGGGGATTTCTCCTGCCTCCATGTTTCTTTTCTTTTTTTTTTTTAATGAATAAGGAAAATAAGCACCATGGTCTAGGAGATGCTTGACCTGCAAAAGCCAACAACAAACAATCTTAAGGAGCATCAAACATTTACGAGGAACAGAGAGCATTGTGACTTCATAAAAAGTTACTGGGGTGGAGGGGAGGGGGAGGGAGGGGAGGGGGGAGAACCCACCACAAATCAGTGCCCAAATGATCAAACTGAATGTGTTAACTAGAGCACCAGACTTTGAACTCAGGAATGAATCTCCAATAATGGAGCATGAAACGGTTCGGAAGCTTTTGATTTGAAATTTTATCTCGAGCATGTCAAACTTCTCATCACTGACACATCTGCTACTCTTTTATCTCTGAGTTAGCGCTCAGATTTTCTAATTAATACATTCAAACTTTAATTATGCGCTTCACCTTTATTGCGTTTGGCGCACTTTCCTCGGGAGACGGGAGGCATCACCTGGCGCAGCCGAGCGCGGCGCTGAGTGGACTGGGCCGCTGCCATTGCCGGTGGGGCCGGGCCTCCCTTGGGGGCACCGCGAGGAGCTCGCTCCAGCAGGGGCTTCACCGGCTGCAGCAAAGGTGCGGCGCTTTGCAAGGAAGTGCCGGGCGCTCAGGACCAGGCTCTGTCTGCCCGCCGGCCCGAGGTCCAAGGCTGGCCACTGGGAGGCTGCCTGCCCGGAGAGGGACCAGGGCACGGGGAGGCGTCCCCGTGCCAGCTGCCCCACACATCAGGCAGAGGAGGAGCTGCTGCGGCAGAAGGCTCGCTTGGACCCCCCCACCAGAAACAGCGCCGAGCAGGGCTGGGCTGGGCTGGGGCCGAGAGGGCCTCTGTCCACCTCCCTGCCAGGTCCCTTCCTCTTCTGCCACGGCTTTTCGGGTGTGAGCCACGGAAAGGGCTCTCTCGCTCATCTTTGCAAGCTGCCTCGGGAGCCTTTGGGGGCTGACCAGCGGGGCAAGCTTCTGCCGGCAAATAAAGACACGCACAGTTTTGCCCGCAGAGTCCGGTGCCCGATGGACCTGGCCGTGCTCCGCCGGAGCTGAGCTCCTACTCGTCTGCTGTGCGCGTCCGTCCGGGAGCGGTGGTGTCCACACTGCCTCCAGCTCCTGCTCGTTTCCTTGCGGCACGTGCAAGAGCATTAGGGCCCACGGATCAGGCTCGGTGGCCGGAATCGCTAGGAAGGCCACCTACCACTGGAGACAGTGCGGGTGTGACTCTGCCCACTCCTAGCCTGCCGGGGAGCATGGGACTCACTTTGTCCGATGGGTCTGCTTTCATCCCATCAGATGCCTTTGGGAGAGTGATGGGTCGCCAGAGCCACAGCTTTCCCCGTTTGGAGCTGAAGGCTGATGAAACGCCCTCGGGTCATGGCGCCCCATGGCTTCCGTACTGCAGAGCAAGGAGCCCCACCTGGGGGCCAGGACCCCAGTCACGGCCAGTCTAGGAAGGATTCCAGGCAAACATCCTCAGGGACATGACCGATGCCCCCTTCTCAATGAGTGGGCTACACCCAGGATTAATTCTCCTTCAAGGTTCGCGTGGGCGATGGGTCTGCTCTAAGGAAGATGGGCCTTGGATTCATCTTGTTATCCGCAAAGGCAGCGTCTGCCACAACATACCAGGAGCCTGCCTGTTTCCCACCCGGACTCCAGGGAAGAATGTGAAATCCACTGCCCGAGGCCCAGGTCTTCTATGGCCAGGCCGGCTGGTTGCATCAAAACAGGCCTTGAACTGAGGAAATGGGGAAGCACAGCCACGTGCGTTGTCTTTGAACCCATGTCTGCCACTTGGCCCATGCTGCTTTCTCGCAGATGGCCGACCACCACCCGCAGGTCACGAGACGAGCCGTCCCGGGACAAGCACGCCTTAGGCTCGCGCTGGGGTGCCACCTCCCGGGCTGCACAGCGGCAGCTTCCCCGGCCTTTTGCTTTCTTGCATCACCTACACTTGCATGCCAGGTCTCGCTGGCTGGCTCTCCCCACTGGGAATGCCCTCTGGAAATCGGTGGGTGCTTGGGCACATTGTCTCTGGCCAAGGAGAAAACGCACCAACGCACTGCTTCGCTGGCCCGATCGTGGCCAATTCTTTACCTGCTCCCCTTAAAATGAGAACCTTCAATGACTCCGGGGGCAGGAGAGCTTCCAAGCCAAAGTGCTGCATGCCTCCAGCAGCCCAAAGAGTCTTCACTCATGGAGACACACCCGCCTTGTTGGGTCGTGTCCGGCTGATGCGATACCTCTGCCATTTGTTTAACTTGGGAGGTCTGGTGTTTATGGGGGTCTAGTAAAGCCCCAAAGCACCCAAAGCACACGGACATTTTTATACCTTCTTCAGCACAACCACAAAGAAGTGGCTGCTGAGAGCAAGGAAGAAAGTCTGGAACCGAAGTTCTGAACTGGGGTTTCGGCAGGGCGTCCGTGCGACCGAGAGAAGACTCACACAGCCACCGGTCTGTAGTGGCTCCCTGTGTCCAGGGGATCTTCGACAAACACTACCCTGATGCTGATTCAAGATAATTTTAGCTCACCTCCTTCAAGGGTTTGGACCTGCCCAGGCAAAGACACAATCTGGGCCGAACGGCAGGCGACAAAAAGCTGTGCAGTCGGCTGATGTGGATGAGCACATACGGGACCTGTGCGTGCAATCGGCCCAAACACGGGAGGTGGAACTCAGCACCTCCTGAGCCGGAGAGAGGACACGCCGCCGTGGCAAAACCATTTGGGACACGGCACTGGGCTGGGCACAGGCTGGGCTGCCACATCGCCCACCCCGTGCAGAGCAACGTGGACTCTCTGCAGAAGGAACAGCGGGAGGCGGTGGGTGGGGCGGGCGGGCAAAGAGCTGGGTGGGAGAGGAGACTTACCTGCTCCACATCCGGGGCCTTAACACTGGCTGCAGAGCCCGGGAGAGAAAGCAATCCCCCGCACTGTACAGCGGCATTTCGTGGGGTGGGGCTGGGACCAACCTCTCCCCCACCCCCACCCCCGCACCTCCCCAAACCACGTCTTCCGGAACGGAGGAGATTCAGGAAGATACCGTTCCACTGGCGGATGGCTTTCTGTTTCGCATGTCTGAATTCTGTCCACGCCACAGACTGGCACAGTTTCGTGCCGCGCAAAACCCACCAGTGCCTTCCCAAGGCTGGAAGTGCCCGCACAGCGGACTGAGAAAAAGTTTCGTTTTTCTTTGAGCAGGCTGTGCTTACTTTTTCCTCTGACAACATTCGAAGGAATGAATAGCAAAAACCCGGGGAAACAAGAATGCTGCAGCAGATATTTTAAAAGCTCTGGCAAGCAAAGTTCGGTAGAAAAAGGGTTGCATTTGCAGATTATATATGGTTGCATGACTGGCATGCCATAGGTTATTGAACTTGCTAGAAAGGGGCTGGTAAAAAGCCTGCACAGTTTCTCCTGGTGCTGCTTGGTTAGAATACAAATGGGAATGTGACCGATGCGGTCCGGGACTGTGAAGTGAAATGAAGCTTGATGACTCGGGGGTGTTTCTGCCCCACCTCTGGCCAGAGAATGTGGCCCCACCCTGCACCTGACAACACTTCCTGTTCTCCCAGCAAGCGCTTAAGAACCAGATGGGCAGGAGCTGCCCACCTGAGGTGGGAAGAAAACAGACTCTGAACCAGATGGAAGGAAGAAGAGAGAAGTAAACAGGTTTGCTTTTCTTGCATTATTTCCTTGAGCAATCCATGCAAGGTGTAAGTCGCCCTGGCGCCATCAGAGGTCTTTTCCCCCAACAAAGAAGTTCCTCTTTCAACCCTCCCCTCCCCCCTGCCCCCCTCCAAAAAGCCCAGAGAACAGTCCTGCACAAACACATCTGGAAGGAGTGTGTGCTCGCTCCACGTACCGTATACATAAAGCGTGTAATCGGAAAAGGACGTCCCCACGTCGTTGGAGGCCTTGCAGCGGTACGTGCCGTTGTCGCTCTTGTTCAGGCTGTCGATGTGCAGGTTCGAGCCTGACACGACGACGTGGTGGGGCATCTCGTCGTCCACTTTCAGCCACGTCACGTCTCGAGGCCTGCGGGGAGGACAAAGAGAGGGGCTGCTCACCCACCGGTGTGCCGAGACTCTGCCCCGCACGGCACTGTGAGGGGCAACATAACCGATGGTGGCAGCAAAATATCGTTCCCGGTGCGGATCAGGGGCGGGGGAGAGGAGGAGTGGAAACAGCAGGGAAGCCCCACGTTTTCCACATGGGAAGTATCACTTGCGGACATGCAGAGAAGCACGTTCTGAGATTATTTTTCCTCCCACGATCAGCCAGAACCCGAGCGTTTTCTACAAGCAGTGCAAGTCCTTTAAAGACAGACACTGCACACCCGAGCAAGGCGGTCAGTCTGAGATGCCCGAGGTTCCTCTGGCATTCTGAGTTGCACTGGACACCGGGACAAGGATTTCGACGTGAGCGATCATTCTTGTTTCTCTTTAGAGAAGAGGTGAAATGGCGGTTTCAGCCACAATTTAGAGCTCTCCGTTCACATCAAGTGAAGGGGATACACTACACAGGGGAGGAACGATGCTTGCAAGATGGAGGAGTTCATGGGGAAGAACCCCGGCCTGCCTCCGCCTCAGGGGACGCGTCGGGAGTCCAGCCTGTGCGCTCTTGCTCGGAACAAGCCCAACCAGTACAAGGAGAATTACTGTCAGCCGTGCGTTAGGACGGCAGCCTGTGGGTCGAATTCACAGTGAAAGATGGAGAATAAAAAGGTGGTGGGAGGAGGAAAGGAGAACCTTCCGTAGCTGAAAAGGTCAACATCGGAGCTTATTGATCAGCTGCGCTCGACTCAGGAAAAGCAAGACTGAGAAAGGGCAGCTTGGGAGCAAAGGGGAAGTGTCTGGGAGAACAGCCAGATCCAGGCCTGCTCGCACGGCGAACAGGCCACAAAAGCGACAGAGGATGCTCTCCTCGCACGGACCGCGTGCGTCTCTTCCCAGGCGGATGCTTTGGGAAGCAACTTCCAGCAAACTCTCAAGGGGGCAGATTCGGAAAAGACCTGGTCGCACCCTGAAAAGCACGGGCTGCGCCCCGTCGTGCAAGCACCGACCCTGGGCAATGCCACCTCGGGGGTAAAGCATGAAGCGTTTGCCACAGAAAACCTCTTTGCACTCGTCGGTCAGGATTCTTGGAGCCAGGAAAGAGTAGCAGCATAATGCCCCTTAATTAGCACGGGTGGGCAGGGTACCCGCTTCCCCAGAATCCCCGCTCCAGCATTTTAAAATGGCAACATTGATCAGCGTTCGAGAATTCTATCTATAATCCAGTTGTAATCAAATTTCCTTTGGGCACTTCATCCCGCTGCAGACACACTACTTTCCCTGCTCTTCAAAGAATGCAGGCTGATTCCCTAAATTGAGGGATTAGATGGCAAACACACAGAAGCGCATGTTTCCATGGCAGCACCAGGCCACGGGGGACCGGAGCCGGGGTACGGGAGCTGCCGAGAGCAGCGCCTGCTCCGGGAAGGGGCCGCCTCAGCACGCCAGGCCAGAAGCTGGACGGGGCAGTGGGCGGGTGAGTGGCAGCCACGCTCTTCCAGAGAGGGCCCGCTCCGGCTCCACGGTGCACGCGCGGCCCAGGCCAAAGACTTACTCTGGCTTCCCCTTCACGTGGCACAGCAGCTCCAGGAGGTCGCCCTCTCGTGTCAGCGGCTGCCCTGGCGAATTCTGCAGCACCTGAACCTCGGGCTTATCTGCACATTGGACACGGGGCAGAGGGAGAGAAAGAGGGCAGGGGGAGAGAACGAGAGCACGTTAAACATACGACCGACCCGTGCACTGTTTTTGTTTTCCGATAGCAACCAACGGCTCGGCGCTGCTTCCGCATCACCTTTGCCGCCCTCTCTGCTGCACCCATCTAATCAGTAAATTATCCTGGCATTCCCCCAAATTAAGCTGACTAATAGCCTCCAAACCTTAACATGCTGATAAGGAATCCGCACACTGAGGGTGGTGGCGGGAGCCCCCCCACCGGTACATGCAAAATGAAATTTTGCTAAATTGAAGTTTATCTCTGAACTCACTCAAGCTGGAGGAAAACTCATTTGCCTTCATGCTGAGGTGAAACGGCAGATTTGCGGTGTTCAGAATTGATACATTTTATCATGTATCATGTTTTATGGGCTGACAATTCTTTGCGCCGCGGCATATTAATACATCGGGCTCTGACGGGCGGCTTTGCGCCAGAACGGCTTGGCGGGAGGAATGGTGGAGCGCTGCCTTTTGTTCGAACAAAAGCAAAGATTTCTGCCAGGGCAGATGAATATTGCAAATCCCCAAACGCAAACACACCAAGGGATTAGAGAGCTTCACACTCGGGGCGGGAGCTCGGGAAATGTATGGAAAGATCCCGGGAGAACAAGGGCGGAAGCTCGCCGCTGCCAAGTCCATCCGCTTTCAACCGCGGCGCACGCAGAGTCGCAAATTCGCTTGCCTTGACGCTTCCAGACCAAGGCACCCACTGCGTACAGGGTCCGCTTTCGTTTCCCCCCAGACCCTCTCTTAACCTGGAAAGCCACTTTCCAGTAGCTAATAATGAGCCCGGAGGTGTTATTGCCTTGCTTTTAAAGGCCATCCTGGTATGGAAACAATGCCTGGAGCACCACGGGTACAGACATGGAATGCTCCAGAACGAAGGGCAATGGAGAATCACAGGCCATCTCCAGAACCTCCCCGAGAGGGTGTCTTCTACATCACTGGGAACCAAACCAATTCAATCACTCCTGAGGCCCTGGAGCAACACAAGTTATGCGGGACAACTAAGCAACTCATCCACGTGGATGAGAAGAAAGCAACGCAACTTGGACTTTCTGCCTTGGAAGCCATGTGAATGGATTCCACCACGCACGGGAAGGGAAAACACAGGTCCGTATGTCCAGGCGATGGCTAACTGCACCACTTGACATGGATTTTTAATATAATGCACACCAGGGTCTGCGGCAGGAAATCCAAGTCGCCCTGGATTTTCACTTGAAATTTGGTTTGCGTCTTCCCTTTGCATTTTTAGATGCCAACTGAACATGTTCCTTCTCCGCAAGTATTTTGATGGCTGAATGGTTTGGTTTTAATGGTTAATGGCTTTTATTGTCAATAGCTGCTGCTTTATTGTGATTTTAATGCCAGATATTTTATCTTGTTTAATTATGCTGATTACACTGTATTTTTTCTTAAGTTTTAATTGGCTTTATATATTGAATATCAATTTTAGGTCTGCCTCTCATCTTGTTTTACCTTATTTTATTTTAGCTTGTTATTTATGTCATTGCTTATTTTATTACTGATTTTTATTGCCATTGTTGGTTACATGAGTTGTTCTTTGGTTTTAATTACCATGCATATGTTGTGAGCCACCCAGAGAGTCTGATGGCTAATGGGGCGGCAAACAAATTGAAAGAAAGAAAGAAAGAAAGAAAGAAAGAAAGAAAGAAAGAAAGAAAGAAAGACAGACAGACAGACAGACAGAAAAGGAGGTCTGCTCGTTTCCCACAGTTTGGTGATAACAGCAAGTATCAGGTTGTGCTGGCTTGGTTGTGTAAAACCTTGCAGGATCTTCATGTTAGAATAGGAGATGATGAATGCCGCTTCTCCCCGGAACCTGTATTTAAATTTCACGAACAGAAAGTCAGCCCGTTCTCTTCCCTCCTCCCTCTGCAGCAGGTCTCAATGCCAGTCCTTGCGTGCAATCGCAAATGGTGTGGAAAGGAAGGGCGGAGGACCAGAAAATATCATTTGGAAGTGTTCGAGCTTTGTAGCCTCTTCGACATGCACAAAAAATCAGGCACGAATTCAAATACATCCAAATTCAGGGAGAGATGAAACAAAAAGCAAGCACCCCTGCCCCCGTCTCCCTGAAAAAGGAAGCTGCACAGAAGGCCAAGTGCAATTAAAAATTAGGAAGTATTTAGGCATTTGTTAAGGAGAAGAAAAGAATCAGTCCAGCGAATATCAGCTAGGAAAGAGCTTGATAGATAAGGAAAAGATCCACCGAGGGGTGAAAGGGGGGAAGAGACATGGGGCTTAATGAGCAACAAAGACCCCAGAGAACACAGACTTAGGATGAGACTATGGAGAAAGCAGAAATGAAAGGAGCCTGGGAGAAGGAATAGAATCTTAAACTGAGTATAAAAAGGGAAAGGGTGCCGGTGAAAAGAAAGCAAACACAGAGAAAATTGATCATATCTACTTGTATTATTCAAATCTGGAAACAAGAACCTGAAGATGGAAAGACTAAGAACTTTATCATCATACAATCTGGGCAGGAAAAAAAATGGTGGAACACTGAATTTTAGTAAGATTTGATTACTGAAAAAAGACAAGACTTAGCTAATGATGTAATGTGAGAAGGGAAAAATGAGCGCAGATCAAGAGACAGACACAACATCAACAGGCCAAAACGTAAGGGAGGGAGGGAAGAGGGCAGAGGGAAAACAAGAATTTTTGTCCTTGAAAGATTTGGCTTAAAGGAATGAGCAGACAGCTGTGAGAAACTAGCAAGAGAAGATCAAAGATTTAGAAAAACAGCATAGCTTAGAGATAGCAAAGAATAACTGACTGTCATCAGCACAGACGTGACCATTTATACTAAAGGACTGAATAGGAGAATATGCGGGAAGCAAATGGCCTCTAATGTAGAAACCTCCAAGCAGGTTTCCCAATAAGGCAAGGAGGAGGAGAAGCTACTAATCCATGTACGAAAACTAAGAAGAAAATCAAGGCAGACCCAAATTATGGAAGCCACGGCCATGGGAAGAAGAAAATGAGCAACAGAAGCAGAAGGGACATTGAGAACTGAATACTGACACTGCTTTTTTGAAAATTATTTGAGATAAATATTGATTAGTTCCTTTGATGCATTTGATTTATAGAACCACATACTACAGACCCAGTATTCCTTCACAGAAAGGAGCAGAGTCAATGTGTTTCCTTACCCAGGGATCTCCAGAGCTTCCCTAGATACCATATGGGAACCATCATCCTCGGCCCTCGTGCCTGAAGCCTCGTACCTTTCCAATGGCTTTGCTGTTATTCCTGAGGGCCGAGCCCAGTGAGGGGCCAATGGAACATGCCATGGAAATGGTTCCTCAGCTCCTCTGCCAGTTTCTGCTCTTCTCACCCGATGACCTTCAGCCCTTCTAATGTAGCCCATGTACTATCCTAAAGAAAAATGGCAGACCCGACTGATGTGCTGAACTTGCTGGCGGCATGTCAGATGGCTGGTTGCTTTTGGCCCTGGAGACACTTGGAAACTCAACAAGGATGTTTCTTTCACTGGGTCTACAGCAGCCTCCCCCAACCTGGTGGCCTTCGGAGGCATTTGGACCACAACTCCCAGAATTCCCATCCAGCAGGTCCATTGACTGGGAATTCTGGGTGTTGCAGTCCAAATGTGTCTGGGAGGCACAAGGTTGGGGAAGGCTCGTCTACAGGCATCTTGCTTGCATCAGGATGTGGTGCCAAAGCTTTGATGTGCTCAAGTTATGCCAAAGAGTCACTTGGCAAGGAGAGGTCCATGACACACATCCAATCTGTCCACTCCAGGGCTGCAACCCGTGGAAGGAAGAAATGCCGACATTTGTCTACTCAAAAGCACCTTCTAAAACTCAACAGACCGAACGTTTCGCCCAGAGCTTTGAGCATGGGTTGTGATAACCTCGCAGAGCCTCACAGGGACCCCCAAACCACATATGCAACTAAAACTGGTCCCATCATGCTCTGGCTGCACCAAGCGAGCAGGACATTGTGTCTGAACATCCTTTTGCAGTCAAAGGATGCTGGGGTCGTTTTCGGAATCACACGCGGCAGCCCCTCCAGCCCCCAGGTGCACTTGGGAGCGCCTGCTGCAACAGACCCCTGGGAAGAACATGCGCTTAAGCCCGGTCCTAGTGCTCAAATAAGGCGGGGAACCCATAACAGGAGAAGGAAGCGTCAACCGGCCACCCAGCCGTGCCAGTTTCCAGCCTCTTGCAGAAAGATCCAGCAGCAAAACCTGGACCGGTTACTCCCCACCAAGCGTTTATTCCTTCTCCCTTTGTTGGCCACATCCTGCATTCCTCTTGTTAACACAGCCTGTTCAGGGGCTGTAAGCCCCGCAGCCTTTGCCACCAATTACGTGCAGCGCTGCTGCTCAGCGTCACGAGGCAGGGAAAAGCAGCCGGCAAGAGGAGGCAGGAGGCCGTCGGGACCAAATGGCCACACAAAGATGCGCCTTCCTCTTTTCCTGCGAAGCCCGGCTTTTAGTCACACTGAGGAGCGGAGGCCTCTGGGCTGAGGTCTGGGTGTAATTATTTCCCATTTTAAACCATTTATGTGCACGCTCGCTGTGACTGGGAGTCATGCTCGGAGGGCCAGGATCTGCTATACTATACTGTTCTTCATTTTCAGCAACATTCCTCAGAGAAAGCCTTATTAATGAGCTCACAAACGAGCACCCAACTGGGAAATGTCACAAACAAGAGAGGCTAATGCTCCAGAAAATCAAATAACTGAACACTCGGCTGATTGTGGTGCCTTTCATATTTACAATAATGGTAATAATATTATAACCCCCACTTTAAATCACATATTCTGAAAGGGTCAACACCTCACTGAACAAAACAACTCATTTACTTATGTTCAGAAATCTCCAGATGATAAATTATATTGATGTTAATCACTTCACTGCATACTATTGCAATTAATATTTGCACTCACCAGAAAGATGCAGATTATTAAAGCACAAGGCGCCCGCATATGGCAGCCTTGCTTCCTTGCCTTCCCCTCCTTTCTTTCTTTTTTGTTAAACATAATTGGGCACGGGGAATTCTCTTGGTATAAACAACAAACAGAGGTTATGGCAGCTTCCCTGGGTATAGGTTTTTATAAACATGCATGTAGACATTATACATCTCTGTGTTCCATTAATTATGACTTAACTCTGCATTACTTCTCCTGCGCCTGAAGCCTCACTGCTGTTTGCCTGCTTCCCCTCGCCCCCGCCTCCAGCATCACATGCTCGGCAGAGGAAGAGGAGGAAAATACTTCAAAGGCATGGGATGGGGTTTTAGGATGAACCATGCAGGGCTACGTTCCCTCCCTCCTCTGCAATTGTTTAGCGCAGGTCGTTAACGACGCCTTAATGTATTCTGATGCTCCATTTCCTTCTTTCTTTATATGTGCGCTCGGCCTTCTTCTCAACCAACCGGGCAAGGTGTTAACCTACAGTGGGGCAGCTACTGATGGGTGTCCGTCACCCCTCGAGGTCCGGACAAGTCCGGTTCCATGGAGAGACCGCCTGGCTGGGCCACTGCCCCGTGGAACACCAGCCACTGCTGGGTGCCCCTCCAAGAGACATTGCCAACGAAAGCTTTGCTCCAAAGTCCTTCTGCTCGTTTACTGAGTGTCATACTATGGATCTTCCATGTTGGCAGCATGCACTTCAACAAATCCGGAAAGACAGACGTCAACGGGCTCTTTTGCTGCAGGAAACTGGTGCAGAACCTTGGCAAGACGGTTGTTTATGGCACGAGGAGGAGGGTTTGGCTCCGGAGCGCCAGGAATCAGCAGCAAAAAGGTAGCGAGGGCCTTGTACGTGTGGAGTTAGCCGATTTTTAGCTTTTCGTGCTCCTTCTATGCTTCTGCTGGGCAGATGCGGCGAAAGTACTACTCAACAGACAAGTTCTCAAAGTTCTCATAGTAAAGTTGATACAAATAATAAAGCAAAACCCAAATCCATAATTTCATTTGAGCTGCAGCACAAAAAGCAAGTTTAAATGAAATGTTCACAAAACCTTGGTTAAATAGGTCAAACTTGTCAGCCGGAGATCTCGCATGCTGGCTCCAACAAAGCGAATTTGTGCAGCAGGAGGCCCGCTTCTAACGGAATTACTGACAGGCCCAGAAGAATAGCTGCAGCAGGTATTTGGCCAAAATCTCTCCTTACAAGCTCCGTGATTACCATATTCGAGGGGCTCCATCAGAGGCGAAGCTCAGTCATCGAGATGAAGGGTTAGCGTAGCAATTTACGGCCCCTTCCCCTCCCCTCCGACTCCAAAATGCATGTACAAGTTAGAGACTTCCTTAATGACTTGCCAAGACAGAAGCTCTCCAAGCTGCGTGGAAGGAGAAACACCACCTCTCCGCTTAGTCGGAAACTCCCTTCCCTTTGGCAGCCTGTTCTGTCTGGCCCGTGCCCTCCAGCAGATGCTCTCCCGATGCCCGGCGTCTGCACTGCACCCACGTGTTCATCCGTGGCTAAACCCCTCGACCCCTCGGTGTTCCAGGCGTCCTTGCAAGGGTGCAGAGGTCCAGACCAAGCGCCACACCCACTCATGCTCCTTCTGTGGTCCTCCCAAGTTGTGGGATGCAAAGGAGACCACGCTTTGGGGCCTGATAGTGAACCCCCCAAACCACGGGCAGAACGCATCTGGAATAGCCAGTCCTGTGTGAGCCAGGAGGGACGACCCGCGGCCCAGCACATGGGCCCGTGTTCCGAGAACGAGCAGGCCCGAGCTTCACAGCAGCTGCCTTTCCCACGCCACGGCAGGAGGCTGGGAGTTTCCGCCTGACGTATGCAAGAGGCCATTTTATCCCGGTTTGCTGCACTGTGGGAATGGGGCAGCTCCTGCCCTGTGTCTCCCCCTCCAACGCACGAAGAAGCCGTGAGCCCAAGGTTGCCTTTGCTCATTCACATAACAAACATGTTTTGCCCTTTTACCTGAGCACGCTTCGCCTCAGCTACAGGTGGAGAGAGATGGCCTCAGACACGTGTGCCTAATCTTCCATGTTGCCATCCAAAGCCCTCTTCCCCATTTCGCTCTCTTCCCTCCGCTTCGTACAAATGTTAACATGCGCCTACATATTCAGGGTTTTGAGCAAACAATAATTAGCTCACCGCCTTGAAAAAGCTCCATAGATAATTTGAATTTTGCCTGCTAATACCTTCTCTTTTATTACAAGCCACTTCCTGCTGAATTCCATCTTGCACTAAGTACACCAAAGTGAGAAAACCGCCCGCTGTGACGGCGCATTCATTGGTGTGGCGCTCTTGATCGCGGAGGCCGGTGTCAGGAAGCGAGAGGTGGGCCCGGGGCAGGCGTGGGCATGTGGCGGTGCCTGGTGTCCCGACGCTTCCGTGCCCCCTTCCTGAAGGACCACTTCTCTTACCCTCCTCCCTTAATGAGGGCAAATTTGGGGAGCTGGCCTTTGGCAGAGGGCGGCCAATCTCCGGGCACTCTGTGCTTGCCGTTTCGGCTCGCTCCTCGCCTGATGGAGGCGGCCCCGCCGGAGTGCGTGTGCAGAGCAGTAATTGGGAGCACGGTGCTCGGCTCTGATTGCAAGTCTCGAGGTCCAGGAAGGGACAAAGAAGGTGTGACAATTAGGCCTGATTTTAGAAGTGGCGTTTTTCTGAAAGGGCTGGAATGGAATCAAAGGCTCCCGCAATCGGGGCATCAGGCAGCAATGAGTGGTGCCTCCGTGGGGGCGGCAGAGGAGGCGGAACCCACGGCTCTGAGTGAAGGACATCGACTGCTGGGAGGCGAAGGGGAGAGGCCCCCTTGGGCTCCTGTGTCGCCCTCCTTGTGGCGACAGGGCTGGTCCAAGGCATCTGAGTCCCTCGGGCAGAAACACAGCGGAGGAACCGCCTGCTGCTAATTAACTTTGGGCACCGCCCACTTGCAATAAGATGTGATTCTATCACAACGACTGACAAGACACGGACTGGAAGGCGCACATCTTTCCGGAATAAACGGGGAGAATGTTCTCTTGCACCGCCTGCCCATTCACTGCAGTCGGGCTGGCACAGAGGAGCTTCCAGCTGGACTGAGCCACTCCGTATTTTGGGCATGCGCAGGCCTGGGAGTCAGAACAAACGGGTGACGCCGGCAGCCAGGAAGGTAGGCAGGGGATGGTTCTAAATCACGGGGGGTCCTTCCTGAGCCGCAGCCTGAGCCTGTTCCTAGCGGATATGCTTCATCCTGCAAATTTTGCTCCCTACCTGAGCAGGCCCGCCTGCTGGCCAACAGGTGGCCTTGCAACCTTGAAAGCAACGTGCTCTTGCTCCCGAGTCGATCCTCCTTTGAGGCCATGTGTGCGCAAGAGTGTGACTCTGTGCATGTGGTTAAGCCTTTCTGATCAGACCTAACAAAGGTGCTAATATATTATTAAAGCTAATGGAGCTCTACAAGAAATGTTAATGGACATTAAGTTTGCATAAATGAATTACACATTAGCACACTGGCAAGAGAACTACAATCTGCCAATTTAGGTAATATCTGATGGTTTTTGTTTTCCCATTATAGGGACGTTAGTTCTCCAATATTTTCAGGCAATATGAAATTTGTAAGCGGAGTGCTTATAATGGAACAACATAATGAAGTAGAAGAAATAAATTAATGCAGGGAGGGGGGACTCTTTGTGTAATGCTATGGTTGAGCTGCATCGACAAAAGACATTCTGAATCATTCCCCAATAGTTTTGCTGCATTTCTGCCCCGTTGCGGAAGGTGAGGGGTGTATGAGAGCGGCCCCGTTCCTCTTCCTTGCGTCAAAATGCCACGACATCTGAGTGACGCAGCACCGGACTGATCCCGCCCCGTCCCTGCGGGTGCCGGGCTTCCCCACTTCGGCTCTGCTCAGCCTCGCGGAGTCGGCAGCAGGAAATAATATTCACACACTGCGCCTTGATGCCCAGCCCGTTATTTACTCGGCAGGATCTGCAATAAGTTATCCTGTGATAATAATATTTATCATATAGCAAGATTATAGCACTTCTGAGGGTCCGGAAGGGCTTCGCATGTGCTATTAGCAATCTAATACACCGGCCCTGTAAGGTAGGTCAATGGCGATTGCCACAAGCCAAGGGAAGGGGTGTGTGAGCTGCTTCGGAGGCAAGGATCCTGGAGCACTGGCGGCTGCTCCCCCCAGCGGAACTTGGCGCTGAGTAATCCCGAGCGGCTGAGCACAGCCTGCCTGGGCCACTGAATTGGGGCTGGGGGCTTTTTGAGCTGCGAGTGTCTTCCTTCCCAGCCCACCACATCGTGGCTGGGAGAGAAGGAAGCGGGCTGAACGGAGCTTTGGCTGGTATGGCCTGTCAGCCTTTAGGGCTGATTTGAGATCCCGGGGCTTTGCGAAAGCACGCGTAAAGTCTCGTCCATTAAGGCAACACTTCTGAAGGGATCTCGAGAGACTTGATTCACACATAACTCCAACCCGGTGTTTAACCATGGGCTGTCAGGATGTGCAAACCCACCCACACCAACAAACCATGGGTGCACCATGTACTAGAGCAGGGTATGAACCAGGTGCATGTTAGGCTAAGACTAGAGGAGGGGAACTTGCTCATTGGCCAGGATCGGGGCCACAGGGGCAGGTGGGGGCTCCCGCCCACTCCATTCCACTGAGCTTTGGAAGTTTTCTCCCCGATCCAGGCCTTGTGCTGGGCGGCCAGCCCACCCATGTGATTGCACAGAGACCACCAAGAAGAACTAGCTCATTGGCCAGGATCGGGGCCAAATGCGTAGGAAAAGCCTGAAACCACCACTGAGTACTTTGAATCACCCACTGAATGACAGCACGAGTATGCGAACAGTTTTAGAAGTATCTGCCTCGTTGACAGCTTCGGACTTCTTCCTACCCAAACTGCTTTTAGATGGGAGGTGGATTGTGCTTCTGGTACTCACACATTACGTCTAGGTAGTACTTGGTCTGCAGGTCCTTGACGGCAGGATGGTCCACCTGACAGACGACAGGCACTCCGTCATCCTCCCGCTTGACCTTCAGCGAAAGCTGGCTGGTCACTGTGTACATGTCCGACCACTGCTCCGTTTCTATTTTGCCTGCAGAGCAGAGAAGAAGAGGGAGGCGAGAGAGCAGGTTAGCGGCTAACCTGCACTGCGGCACCCAGGTACGATTCACACCTGAAACATCACCTGTGCCTCGTCTGCTGCTGCTTCTCTCCACTTCTGGATCAGAACCAGGAAAAAACAGCCATGCACACAGCCACCTGCTCAGGCCTACTTGACTCGTGTGTGGCTTGAATGGAGGAGGGAGGACCGACTCCTGGTTTGCTGGAGGTTTCCGCGCCTGGTGGCGCAGCATCTTGGTCACCAGAGTGGCCAGGCTCAGGACGGGAACCTTGCGGAGTGGCAGGGAGGGAAGTGGCCCTGGGCGGGTGCGGGACTGAGCGTGCCAAACAGAGCCGTGCGCGGAGACACCTATTCCGAGCCGGCTGAATTCAGTCTCCGTTGGCTTCCGGAGTCAAAGGGATGGGGGACAAAGGCAGGCCCATCTCCGCTTCGTGCTCTTAAGCGTAAAAAGCCCGTGCGCACTCAGCAAAGAGGATCAGGAATTCCAGGATGCCTTCCAAGCACTCGAATCACCAGAGCCAGAAGCCCTCCACCTTCTCCCTCCAATGCCACTGCCAAAAGTCATCATCAATAATTAAGAGGGAAAGTGACTCCATGGATTTACATAATTAAAAGGAGCAATTAAAATATTTAACCAGTGTAACTGCTGAAGACCAGCAAAACACAGTGGCAGCAAGTTTGTTTATCCATTGGATTTATATCTATTTATTGGATTTATAAACTGCACCGCACAGTCCCCACAGGACTCCTGGAGCGGTTTGGAAATCCCCAGGCTGAACTAGATGCTCCCGGGAGAGCGGCTGGGTCTGGAAGAATCAGTTGGCGGCAAGGGCTCTGTTTTGCCAGCCACGCGGCTTCATTGTCGACGTGAAGTGGCCCGATGAGGGAATCTGGAGGCCTGGAATGCGGAGGCATTGCTTCTCCTACCCCTCAACTTCAGATGAAGCTGTGGAAGCGCTGAACCAGATGTGGAGATCCTGGAGGAACGCCAGGGGAGAAGCCCCGATTCGGCCCTGCCTCGGAGGGAACTTCGCCCTGCGATGGAGCACACTGGGCAGGCAGGAGAAGCCATGCTCTGCCCCGGAAGCTCCTGCTGAAAGGATCTGGTGCAGAGAGACATCAGCCTCCTCTCAGCCTGGGATCAGGGGAACTGCTGCCTGCTGGAGTGAAGGCAGCACCGATCCTCATGGAAAATATTCTGGCAGCTCACAGTGTTTATACTATATACTTGCATCAACATCTAAACCTAAGCTGAACTTCTGTTCTGCCTCTCTCCCAAAAACGGTGCTTGGTCTACCTTGGCAGGTCCTGCGTGCCTGTTCTGGGCAGGGCAACCTCACCCAAAAGGGCTGAGAACCTGGAGGTGCTTCTCCATATGGCCAGTGGGGAAGCAGCCAGGCGGCACTAAATGGCAGAAGGCATCCCACCCACCTCAGCCAATGATGCTGGCTCCCCTTCCATCTCCAGGCATATTTCAAAAGGCCGTTTTAGACTTTAAAACCGGGGAGAGGGAACGCCTCCGCACTCCCCTTCGCCAGCATCTGTCGGCTTGGAGGAGACTTTGGACTCCCCGCCGTCAGAGGCAGGGTGAGTGCGGACAACACGCAGGGTGCCTTCGAAGTTTTCTGGGGTGCCTGGAAGGCTGACATGGCCCCGGTGAACCTGCTTTTCGTTGCCCAGGATTCTGATTAGGTGCTGGCGGGGGTGACTCTGGCTGTCACTGCCCCAGAGAGCCGGAATCACAACAAACGGTGCCAGCAGAAGGAACTCAAGCCCTAGAATCCATCATCCAGCGGTCTCCTTGCAACATCGCCAGGTTGGCCGGCTTCCCGGCGAGGTGGCCGCAAGGGGCAACCGCATCGGCATGCCGGCTCGGGGTGTGACTTTACCGGGTAGCTCCTTGCTGCCTTTGAACCATCTGATCGTCGTGGCGGGTCTGCTGGCCATGGCCGTGCAGTTCAGCTCGATCTCTTCTCCTTCCACTGCCGTGTCCTTCTGCGACTCGATCCTCAAGTTGCGAGGCGGGACTGGAACGAAAGACGGTAAGAATGGATCGTGAGTTTTGCATCGCTTCTAAGGAACGGGCCACGCAAGAGAGCGGCTGAGCCGAGGGAGGCCTTCCCACAAGTCCTGCTCTCCGCCAAGCAGGAGCCTCATGGTGCCTTCCCATCACACGCGCAACACTTCCACCTGCGCCTTTGCCGGGACCCCCAGCCCTCTCCTCCGCAGGAGCGCAAATCCCCCACTGCGCTACTCCGTCCTTGGGACAGAAGAAGGGACCCTGCCTGCCCAGGGAGGCCGGGCACGAACGGCAGGCGCCTGCCCTGGAGGGACCAAGGCAGAGAGGGTGGCTTTCTGCCCGCTCGCACCCGTTTCCTGGCAGGCCCGAGGGCTGCACAGAGTGATGCGACAGTTGCGCCCGGGGCAGGAGAGGCCTCGGCTCCGGCGGAGCATCAAGAGGAGCCGCTGCAGCCGCCCTTCCATTCTCCCTCGCCCCGAAAGAAAAAGGGGAGGACGCTGGCACTGCTGCTCAATTTCTGTCTGATAACCAGTGGTGGGGATCACATCAAGATTTAAAATACAATATTCTTGTTTGGACAGGATTGTTTCTGTGTTGTGTTGTGTTTTGTTCTGTTGTTGCTCCTGTGATTGTTCTGACGCACTGGCTGGGTGGCCTGCGTGTTAATAATATGCAGGGCTTTTATCCAGCAGATGAACAAGGAATCCTGCAGATGAGGAAGGGAACTTGCCGCTGTCTGTCGAGAAATAAAATAGGCGCAGCACCTCCGCAGGTCTGGAGAAGGGCGAATGCCAGGGAGGCTGGCAAGATCTTCCTGCCCCCCACTTCCTAGTGCTGACCCACACCCTCAGGGATCTGAGGACTATCCGCTGGGATGCTACGTGGCCACCCGGAGGGGGAGACAGGCCAAGTGTGGGCACTGCCATGTCGCCCGCTCCTGGCTGAGCCCCCCGCTTGGCGGGAGAAGCGGCGCACGGCCACTGCCGTCGCTCGGAGGGCGGGCGAGCCCCTGTACGGTGCCCGCCCGGGCAACACGGCGACCTCAGAGCCACGGCGCGAGGAGCAGCTCCCGGGGGTGAGGCCGCTGGACTCGGAATTCAAACGAGGGGCTCATTTTAAATACTTCTCAGTGCATAAGAGATGAGCTCCATTAAATGGTGGGAGGAGGAGGATCAGGGAGGGAAACCCGAGCAAGTAATCAGCAAGTGTGATCGCACTTTGTGATTGCCTGTTGAAATCCGGGCTCTCTCGTCACTGGAATCTTGGGAGGCAGCATTAATCTGGGGCCGTGGCTGTTGCAGCATTAGCAGCTATTATCCGTGGATACCCTAATCAAACAGTCACATCTGCTGCACCTCCCCGGACTCGAGAGGAGGAGGAAAGCTGGCCTTCGCAGGTTCACCAGGTGCCAGGGTGTGGGGCCGGGAGCCATGTCAGCCCATGGGTCCTGCCCAGTCCAGATCCACCTCCACACCCCCAGGATCCTGCGGCTGAGCGCCCCCTGCTGAATCCCCCAGGAGCTCCTGGCAATGGGGCTGGACCGGGGCTACGGGCCAACACTACACTTTCTACAGTTCTGTAGCTCAAGCAACCTCATTTATTTTAAGTATTTACTTCATTTTGAATAGCTAAGGCTCTCTGGGTGGTTAACAGCAGCTATTTTTTTAAAAAAAAAGTTTTAAAAAACCCGCAGAGAGAAAAAACAGCAGGGGGTTGGACCTGAGGGCTTTCATGGCCCCTTCGAACTCTATTCTATGATTCATTTAAAAGAATGAAACCATCTTTGCAATGGGAATGGCTGTGATTCAGCGGAGAAGCACAGCAGCAGTACAGAATAAAGGGCGATATTAAAAATGAAGCTGAAGTTTTCACTGTTAAAATGTGCTGAAAGAACACAAAGTAGGTGCCAGGCCCACCTCTCTGTGGAGCTCAACCCACAGCTGGGGAGCCACAACCAAGAAGGCCCCGCTCCTGGTAGCCACTCCCCCACTTCCTCTGGAAGGAGCTCCTGGAGAAGGACCCGAAGATGCCCTCTGGGCCAGGCAGGGCCACACAGGAGGAGGTGGTCCTTCAGCAAACCTGGCCCACTTAAGGTCATGCTGGCTAAGGGAAATTCCCTATCCTGTTGCAGAACCACAATCTTCACCACAATTCCCACGCTTCCATGCTAGAAGGATGTGATTTTTGTGGCCTATTGCTAATAAACACTCCAGATCGGTTGCTATAAAGGTGCCAAATCCCAACCATGCCAGAATCTGGCTTCTTAACAGCAAGACTGGTATTAAGCTAAAGTGGTCTGTGCTGAGAAACTGCTTTTCCCTGCACACCCAGCCAGCACAGCCAAAATCTTGCCTTTCTTTCCATCGGAAATACAAGCTTTAGTGCAAAGCCACTCTAAGGAGAAAAACGGGATGTAAGATGTAGTATGGTGGTGTATGTGTTCGCATGCACACACACACACACGTATGCACAATCATGGAGCCTATTACAAAAGCACTAACCAGGAACAGGATGCAAATCACACATTATTTAATACTGCGAAAATTGTCAAGGCTTTGTTGATTGCAATTAAGCATGCAGAGATTCTCAGAAGCATCATCAAGGTGTCAAAAGGCATAATGACCCGCACATCAGACTTGATTTTCACATAGCATCACAAACTGCAACAATTTATTTAGTTAGTTCATTATATTTTTATACTGCTCAATACCCCAAAGTCTCTGGGTGGCTCACAAAACTTAAAACACTCGGACAAACATGGTAAGATAAAGCCTTTAAAGGTTCAAAACAGGATGAAATCAGAGTAAAATCCACCAGCAGCATAAACTAAAGCAAAGCTACACATTTAAAGCAGAACTGAGGAACTAAAATCCCGGGAAAGCCAAATGGGCTTCATAGGGTTTCAATGTACCCACAATTTAGACGGCTGGTGGGACTGGACCGCGAGTTCCATTTAGATTTTTTAACCACTGATGGAACTAGCACAAGTAGGCACTGGAAACCACACAAGCTGTAGGAGGGTTTGTACGAATTCAGCCGATTTGTGTAGCTGATTCTGCATAAACTCTCTGGACCCACATGGCTTTCAGGTGCTTTTATGCCCAAATTTCATGAGCAGCTTTAAAAATGCACAAATGGCAGTCTGTTGTAGCTACAGAAGTTTGCAAGCTGGCGTGATTTGCCCCAAAGTGCACAGGCATCGGCACAGTGCTGACAGACTGGAATCAGACGCAGGGGTGAATGCTGAAAAACCATCACATTTCACCCCAGCAGATTCCTGAAACAGAGATGCTCCACAAGGGAGTGAAGATGACAATCGGGGCAGGTATACACTAACAGGCTGAGCAGCTCGCCCCCTTTTGGGTGGGACTGTGAAGCTTTTGCGAGAAAGAGGAAACAGGGAAAATGCAGAGTGCTTTTTGTTGCTGGGAAACCCAAAGCCGACACCAAAGACAGCCGCTTCCAGGAAAGAGGCAGGATTAGTTGGAGACGCCCCCTCCCACACTCCCCCACCCATATTTTGGAAGTGCAACACAGTCAGCTAGTTGGAAGCAGAGTCCTGTAATGAGATCAGGATGGAGATATATATGCATGGTAAAAACACTGCTTCAGAGGAAAGCTTGAAAAGTAGCGTGAAGCAGTGCATCTTTCCCTTTGGGGACACAGTTAAGAAACTCTGCTGTCTCTGTGTGTGCAGAATGCCCTGCATTTGGGGCATCCGCTCCCTTTAAAACATCCTGAGGATTTGGGGGAGGGGGGTGGTTTCTGCCAATATCTGCATGTGCCCTAAGCCGTGAACGACCCAGGCTGCAGCCGATGGGCCCCAACACATCTGCTGGCAGCAGGAGAGGCCGAGCCACCCAGGACCGCTCCATCCCTGGGACGCACAGCTTGACTTCCAAGCCCGGGCAGCACGCTGCTCAGAGGGAGCGTAGCCGAGGATGTGCCTCGCCTTGCCTCGCGCCCAAGCAAACGGAAGAGCGAATCGGTGGCCGATCCTTACCGAGCACGGTGATGGTCATGAAATACTCCTGCGGGGGATCCGTGTAGAGCTGGCAGAAGTATCTTCCTTCATCCGAAATGGAGACGTTTGTGAGGGACACTCTGAGCTCACTGCTAGAGAAATTCACTAACTGAAACCTGCTGTCCTTCAAAGCTGTGGAACAAAGAGACACTCAGACACGGCAGTGGACCAGGCAGTCAGCACGCCCTCCCAGAACAGCAGGAAAAACCGGACGCTTGGGGAGGCGGCAGCAGCTCGGCCGTGCCTCAGCGGCACCCTCCCCTTTCCCCATCCCGCAATTTGGGCTTGTTTCGTTACAATTTGGATTTAAACAGAGCTCTTACTTGCCAAGCCATACAAATCATCCAGATGCATGTCCTTAGCAAGGACTAACAATCACACCCCCGCATTCCGCTCACTACCCCTTTGTTTTAATAACAACAACAAAGTCAACAACCAAAAAAGAGAAGGGAAGGAACAGGGAAAAAAGCTCTACGAACATGCTAATGACTTGCCTGCCTCCTCATGCAAGGAGCCTGCTTGGAAAATCCATTAAGAGGGATTTAGTGGGGGAGAATTGTGTGGGCATTTAAGTAATCAACTCTAGCAGAATTAATAAGCTATTTGGTTGCACTGATTTACCGAGAACGTTTGGTCAAGGCACCCTGGCCTCTGAGGTTCAGAGGTTTATCATGAGCGTTTTCTTTCATTTCTCTTTTTTCACAGATCACTTTAAAAGCTCAGAACTTTTCAGGTACAAATGCAAAATACAAGCCCACTCAGCCCCAGCGGCCTGTGCTCCAGCCCTAGCCATCGTTTCAGACGGAGTGGCACTCCAGCTTCGACTCACCCATGCGGGGCAAAGCAGCAACTCCCATGCCTCCTTGGCTTTCCCCAAAAGAGGAACAGGGGAGGGGGAGGAGCGGGAGCAGGGGGAGAGAGCATATATTTTCATTAAAGATGAAGGTCTCTTAGCTCATCGTTCCAAGGAACAATTATTAACTGATATGACTTCTAATTCGAATGTTGCCATCGCTCGGCAATGCCGGATCCTCCCACAAGCCTTTTCATCATTAAGATTAGTCCTCAAATAATGACACAATTATACCACATCACTTTGAATTTCCCTGGGCTGCCCAGCCCAGCTCAGGGCATGTGGTTGTGTGTTCCTTGGATGAGAATTATCTCTGTCCCAAAGTTCCTGACCCGACTTCCGACTCTTCAGAATCATTCTCCCCACTACTGGGAGCAGTCACGGGAACCAGTCAGATCCTAACTAAAGATACCCTTCCGCAGAAAAAGAGCTACAGGTCAGTCCCAGGTAAAGGTGGCATCAGCCTGCTAATCTTGGATTATAATTGCGGGCATGCCCTGGACAGCTCTTTGGTACTTCTGGCTAGGCAGAAATTCAAGGAGCACTCAGTCCAGGTCAGGAAGCCTGGCAGGTTCTTGAGCAAGGTTTTCATCACTGCCATCAGGCTTGCTGGAGAGAGTAGGCTGTGCTGAGAAATTAAGGAACAGTTGCCTACAAGTTTTGACCCCCCCAGCCAGGGTCTTTATTCACTGCAGTTGTCACCTTTGTTGTTTCCTATTCAACTGAATATTTTGGTACTTCATTTTGATGTTGCTAGACTCAATTCCGATTATACTGCAAGGCTGTCCACATGGTCAGTGGGACCATACCAGGGTTGTCCTTTAGGGCAAGCAGCTACGGTGGCCCATCTCTACCCACTGACTAACTCTTCAAAAAGTCTAGCATTAAATTTAAAAGGAAGCTGCAGCAACTTCTTATCAAGATTTGCTACCAATGACGCAGAACTCACGCCTGAAGTCTCTGAAATAAATTGTCTGTCTGTTGGGATTTAAGAGTTGAATCACGGAGTCGTCACTGTTTTTGACTCTGCAACTGATGGTGGCAACTTCTCCCTCTACGACGGTCACGTCTTCTGTCACCAAGTTCTGTCCATCACCTTGAGAGGTTGAAGAGAAAGAACAAGAGGAACAAACACAAGATGGGTGAGCTTGCGTCCACCCTTTGTAATTCGCCACAGAGGTCCAGTCAAGATGGAAGCCGGGGCCAGAAAAACAAGAGGGTGCATGACAAATGAGGCCCAGTACATATAGCCCATGTGCACAGTTGTTCGGACTCACACGGGTTTATCAGTGGCATTTCCCACTTGTGCGCGCACGCATGCGCTCGCTCGCTCTCTCTGTGTCTCTCTGTGTGTCTCTCTCTGTCTCTTGGATGATTGGGACCTGCTCTTTGTTTCTGCAGCCTCATCCTGCTGCCTTCCCCAAGGTTACACGCTTCCTGAGGACATGCTGAGGGACCACGCATCTCAGCCGCTCCCTTGGCCAAAGCGCCTGAGAGCTGACCAGAAGCCAAGGACAGCAAAAGTCTGCAATCCGATTGCATTTCGCCACATCACTCACACCATCGTAGGAAATCTCGCTGGCAGCACTGTGGGACGGTGCCCAGCTAAACGATTCCAGCCACTTGCTCTTGGAAAGGAGCGAGCCTAAGCTGTGTGCCGCATCCATGCAGAACAGCAGACAGAAGAGCTGAATTTCCCACTAATTCGGGTTACATTAAAATTTAATGCACACATCGCTTTCCCACACTGAAGTTACACTCAGAGTGGCTCCTTGTATGGACATGGTTAATTATCAGGAAGTGTGACTTGCACAAGTGCACACAGCCTCACCCCTGACACGCACGGCACTCGCACAACAGGGGCAGGGCAAGGCAACCGCTCTGCTTGAAAGATGGTGGACGCACTGGGAGGCCACCGTTTCATATGCCAGCTGGTCGCATGAAGAGAGCTACCTCCGGCTTGGCCCACCCCCACCCGAGCAAGGCTAATGCTGAGCAGAAGCGCACCTGGTGGATTGATGCCCAGCATGTTGAAATGGTGGCCATGCATGCATGGGCCTTCCTATAAAACCATGTCCCTGGAAACAGAATTATTAACTGCTCTGGGCATGGCTGACAGAGCTGCAAAAGCTGCATGAGAAAAGAAAAAGAAAAACACGAATGCCACAATTATTTTGCTAAAAATAGAAGATGCTGTTTTGCAGGCCAATTAACTGCATAAGCAATGGAACAGTAATTCCACCTAGCTAGAAAAACACAATTCCCAGGAAAGAGACGGGGCCAGGGTGGAAAAGGGAGAAAATTCCCCCTTGACCTTAGTGGTTAAAACACACGTGCACACACTGGGTAGAAAGACCTTCACCAAACGGCTGCTCAGAAAGGATTCCAGCTGGACAAACATCAAACTTCACAGTAAACCAGTTACTGGGCTTGTAGCAAAGCACAGATCCACACCAGGAGAAGAGGGAGGGGAGAAGTTACAAAAGAGCAGAGCCCCCATGTCCAGGGTACAACATCTTTTCACAACATTCCCCACAAGGCATTCTTCAGCTGTTTGGCCACTAAAGGGTGTGCCTGAGATTCCAGCAGCTTCCTGAGAACCCCATTTATGTACTTCCAGACCTAGAAGAAGCGGCTCCAGCTACCCACAGCCCCTCGCTTCCAGCTCCTTTCTTCCCCGAAAGCTCAACACCTTGTTCTGCAGAAGCTTTGTGTCCACAGGAGGCATTTGCCAAGCCAACAAGCTCAGGGACACTGCCTGCCCAGCAAAGGGTGTTTAAAGAGACGCTTTCCCTCCCTACGGAACATGCACGAGAACCTAACGAGATGCAAGCCCCTGTGAGACGATCCACTTAACCCCTGCCGTCAAACAGAGAAGCTGCATGTTGGCTGCACACACTCTGCTTCAGGGGTTCAAGAGGAATGGCGCTCTGCAACTCTACAGCAGCCACTGGAGGGTTGGCAGCTCTTTATCAGCATCTGCTGCAAACCCGTGTTTGTCTTCCGTGTGGGCGACACCCATGGCAACAGACCCAAATATGAGCCCACCACGGATGCCCATAGGGGACTGGGGAGGGGGGGGGTTCCCAGGTTAAGACTGGCAGACATTTGAAACCTACACCAAAAGATGTCATCTCGTCAGTCTGCCTCCCAGTCAAACAGAGGGATCTCGCTTGCAATACGCCGAGGGATCATGGCATTTTATGCAAAGCTTGCTCCAATGCGCAGCTGCCCAAGGGTGGACCTGGCACCATCCGCACACCTGCAGATGAGACGGGGTGAGGCCAATGCTGTGCTGTCCGTGCCTGGCTTGCCCTCCAGCATGGAGCCCTCCAGCACGGAGACGTGGCTCCCCACGGCCCCTCGCTCAGCCCATTTCACAGCACGTGGCTGGGGAACCGTGGCCAGGCACGCAGCTGTTTCACTGTGCACGAGGGCTGGAATGTGGTTCCTACTGGGTCTGTCCGCTACTCCAAAGCCAGCCGGCTTTGCAAATCAAAGCCACCAAAATTAACTTCATGCTTTGCTGGCAGTGGCGGATGCTGTGAACCAGTGTGCAAAATATTTGCGGGAAAACTTTGCACAAGATGCTTGTCTGAAAGAGAGCCCTCCAACGCTGCACGGGAACCTCATCCGGCTGCACTTGTTTCTGGAGTCTGGTTTCCACTTACTATATTTAAATCAGCAGGTGATGCTGCAAACAGTCCAAAGACACCGAACAAAATAAATTCTTGCATTCATTTACTCTCAGTGAGCTGGGTAATATGTTACTGTTGGAGCTCTGACTTGCCCCCTCCTGCTCCTTTTAATGAACTGACGCCAGCGGTTGGCAGCAATATCTAGGTTACAGCATTAAAGAACAGAGGTGTGTGGCGGGGGGGGGGGGGCTCTACTTCCACTTTCTGCAACCTGGGCAACTTCTGAGCCAGCCCGGAGGTGCTGCGACTGTTCTGGCACTTTGCGGCCTCGCGGCAGGCAAGCAGCAACAATACGAAGCCAGGAGGCCAGGTGAGAAAGAGTTAGCGAGCGGCTGACTACTGATTGTGTCCAGTGCTGGTCCAGGTCAGAGGAGGCCTACCGGCACAAGTGGGAATTAAGCTGGACTAACCCGGGTACACCCCGGCTCTGGGATGGGGCTCGGAGAAAGCCCATCAAAGGACTCAAAAGGCCAAAGTAGCAGAAGGCCATCCTTCCGTGTTCCCACATGAAGAGAAAGCCATTTCTTCCCAGCTGCCCTCTTTTTTATGGGACAAACAGCAGGTTTTAAAAGCAGGAAAACCACACGGGGGGGGGGGGAAGATGCTCACACGCCCAGGTGCTTGAGTCGCCGCCCTCCCCTAATTCCCTCCTGCTCTGGGCACTTAAGCACGCAGATGTGAGTCCCGTGCCTGCATTTCGTCAAGCACGCAGATGTGAGTCCTGTGCCTGCATTTCGTCAAGCTGGGCCACGAGGTGCCCATGAGGGACGGAGGGGGCCAAGCCTGTCCCGGCTTGTTGCTTCTGGCTGCACCTGCCACACCTTGCTTCAGTTAAAAAAGGCCATGCGCAGAGGCGACGGCAGTGGAAGCTCTGCAGCGGAGAATGACAGACGCAGAACTGCATGCGTGCATTCGGCCTCTGCGGCAGGATCAGCTCCCCACCCCGCCTGTCTCATAACCCTTGGCAGGAGCAACCGGGAAGGGCTTACCTCCCCGGAAGGCACACGCCCTGGTTAAATCCTGCTGCTGTTGCTATCGGCTGTCAAGTTGTCCCGGAGGCACGGCAGCCTGATGGGAGAAAGCCCCCCACATGTCCTCTTTGTGACAGCTCCATTCAGATTTTGCAAACGCAAGGCGGGGGCTCCCTTACTGGATTCGAGCCACCTCGTGTTTGGTCTCCCCTTTGTCTTCCTTTCCCCAGCACAGCTGCCTTCCCCTGATGTCCCGAAGTATGACAGCCTCAGCTTTGCCCGTTTGTATTCCAGGGAATGCTCTGGCCTGAGTTGGACCCCCTTGCTGGTTCAGACTATTTGCAAAGCTCTCCCCTCCAGCACCACGTTTCAACGACTTCTTTTCCCATCAGCTTTCTTCGCTGTCCAGCTTTCACACCTATATGCTGTGAAATCGTGCACAATTTCTATTTCTTCATCATTAACAGCAAAGTTTTATATTTCTTCCTGAGGAGGGTTTCTGTTCTCAGCCAGGTGCTCTGCAGTAAGTGCTTTGGACTACAATGCCAAGAATTCCTGATCATGAGCTGTACAGACTGGGGCTGATAGGAAATGAAGTGCAAACGCTCAGGAAGGATGATTACAGGCCTTGGTGAAGCTCAGCAGTATAAGTTTTGGAGAAAAGACGAGCGTTCCACACACGTGTTTAGAACAGGCCTTGGTATCGCATCCCTCTTAGCCAAAATTAGCATCGCTAACGTGGAAGTCAGCATCCCCGGCCTCCCACAGGGCTCTCAAGGTCACGTACAGCACACAGGTCAAGGGAGTCTAGGGCTCACCCCACGTCGTCGGGCCTGCAAACCAGATCATTGCCAACGCGCAGCAAATCTCAAGCTTTTGTTGTCCACAAAATGAAGAGAAATCGATTTCTTCAATGCAGTGCTACAGAACCTCTAGCCAAATCTTTGAGAAGAAGCGTTATCAAACGGAAAATAATGACTAGTGCAGGGGAGGCGGGAAGTCTTCAGGAAACATTCTTTGTCGTTTTTTTTTAATAAACACAGAGCTCCTGACAAATTAAAGTCATTAAGATTTGATTTCCATCTCAGCAATTATCAGCATATTCTTTTAAACATTTACTTTAAGACAATCCTATCTTTCAATTCATTAAGCTCGTTCTCCCATTTACCAAGTTTTATATCAAATCAAAATCCTATTTGAATTAATAAGAATTATGGGGGAAAGTAATTTAGAAATAAATGATCTGAGGTTCAGACTACTGAAGCTTTTGATTATGAAATACTGTATGAATAAAACTAGCCAAAGCATTTCTTTAGGACCTGGCAACGGAAAATGCGGATCAATGCAAAGATTTCCTGGACTTGCTGTTTACAGATTCTACTGTGCATTAACGTTCACGTTTTGCAGATCCCCACCTTTCCATATACTGGAATATTACAGGTCGAAGGATGGATGGCTTCCATGGAAGACATTGCCCCTAATCCCCCAGAAGCACAGCATTAGTACCTAGTTATTTTGTGTCTGAAATTAAAATGATTATTAAATTACATTAGACGGATCAGAGTTGGAAACAACATTTGATTCAACAGCACTTACCTACAGT